GCTGTCAGTGAGACCCAGGCGAGTTCTCCTTGCATAGGTAGACAAGAAAACAATCTCTCAGATAATGTACAGAAGGTACTCACTGCTTTCATCAGCGTTTTTCATCACAGCGAGGCTCCGGGCAAACCGATGTCCCTGTCATCCGCGTGACTGCGCAGACCATCGCAGCATAGCCGTGCACATCGGTCTTGCGCACGGCACGAACAAGCAGCATGGCTGCAGCCCAGGTGCATATCAGTATCATCTTACACAAGGGGACGCCTCTAGACTACCCGCAGTACAGACACACTGCCCTATGGCTGCAGTCCTCAGATGGATCGCCGGCTCGTTTAGCAGAGATCGCTGGAGCGCACGGCTTCTTCGAGTATGAACACGCCGACCACGCGGATCCGTCTCTAAATCAGGACTGCGTTAGACTCATCGACGTAGGAGACTTGTCTCGCTTGTCCACGAGGGTGTCGATCGTGCAAGCTTTGTCGAGAGTCCTTGTCGATCATGACGACCGCGAGTACGACTGTTAGCCTTGGGTCAAGCATGCCTCGGAAATGCTCGAGGCCATTGGAGACCTGTCTGAGAAGGACTACGAGAGAGGCGTCGACCTGATGGTGGATGTAATTGCAGAGGCGGAGGATTCGGAAGAGTAGTTCCAGATGTTGTCTTTCCTTGTTTGTCGAAAGTAAATTTGTGATATGTTTCCTTCGTCTACTGTGCTGCAACGAATCCACGATCTCACAACCCTCACGATCTTAGTCCTTGCCATTTATACTATCATTTCCGCCATGTCTTCTTCCGATATCAACCCTCACAACAAAAAGCCATATAGCGTCAATTACAAGATTTTGCGCGAAAGGGCGAAGAAGCTTCTAGTATCGATTGATATTCCTCGTATACTCCGCGCATTGGAGGAGTATAACATTCTCATTCTGGTGAGCGAGACCGGCTCTGGCAAGACGTCGCAAGTGCCTCGAGCGGTCTTGAGCGTGACACCAGTTGGGAAGGTCGCTGTCACGCAAACAACGCGTATAGCAGCAGACCTGGTTCGTAATCGTTTTCAAACACTTTGGCAGGCTGATCACTAACGTTCCCAGGTCGTGAAGCGCATAGCGGCACTGGAGGATGTAGACGTTGGCGATCTGGTTGGCATCCGCCGCAAGGATAGCGTGAAAGTTGGCAAGGCCACAAGAATAGAAGTTGTGACGGATGGTTCGTCTGACTAGGCAGTTTTGGCTTCGTGTATAATGTGCTGACATTGTGCCAAGGTACCTTCGTCCAGACTGCGAAGAGCGACAGAAGCCTCTCAAAGTATGGCGCCATCATCGTGGACGAAGCGCACACGCACACCATCCAGACCGACATGGTCCTTGGTCATGTCAAGGAGCTCAGCCTGGAACGACCCAAGAACCTCAAAGTGATCATCATGTCGGCCACGATCGATGTTGATCAGTTTCTGGACTTCTTTCCCGGTGCGGGGGCCATCAAAGTGCAAGGTCGGCCGTTCGAAGTCGGTGTGAAGTATCTCCCGCAGCTGATCCTGGACATTACCGACAGCATTGTCATGACTGTTATGCACGCACACTTGACCGAACCAAGCGGGAATACTTTGGTATTTGTAAGTGGCGTCAAGCAGATCCGTGCGATCATTGAGCAGATCAATAGGTATATGCTCGCACGCGAGGACCGGTCGCCTGTCTTCAGCCCGGATTATGTCGGACGTCTTGACTGCTATCCGCTGTTCTCCCAGCTTCCCCAACCTCAGCAGGACTTTGCGATAGAGGCGGTCCCGCCACCAACTCGGCTCAAAAGCCTAGTCGCAAGGTCATCGTTGCGACTAACATCGCGGAGACTTCGATCACGATTACTGGAGTAACCATCGTGATCGACTCCTGCAAAGTCAAGTCCAATGTCTGGCAACCTGAGGCCGAGTCGTGGGCACTGACGGAACGATCGGTTAGCCAAGCGGTTGCAACGCAGCGTACGGGCAGAGCCGGCCGTACTCCCAAAGGCGTAGCTTATCGTATGTGCACCCAAACCGGGTTTCATGCGCAGTTGTCGGCGCATACTGTGCCGCAGATGCAAACCGGCGACATGGTTCAGGAGGTCCTCGACATCCTAAAGATCGATCGCAACCCGCTGACCTTCTCGTATCCGGCTAAGCCCGCTACTGAGACGGTCGTCAAGGCGCTTGGCATCCTTGTGCCAGTCCAAGCAGTAGAGAAGTGTCCTACTGGCTTGCAAATCACACCACGCGGTCTGGACATTGTGCGTCTTCCTGTCGACATCTATAGCGCCATCATGCTCCTCGATAGCCCGATGTTCAACTGCCAGGATCAGGCCGTCTCCTTGGTCGCAATGATCGAAGCCAGCGAGAAGGGCAGCAATGTCTTTGTGAAGCCCAGTTCTAAAAAGGCTAAGGCCGCTATCGCACAACGCACATCTATCTTGCATACCGAGGCGCAAAGGATGTCGCCGCATTCTGCGAGGAGCATATGCTCAATGCCCATGTGCTCAAAGTCGCCGATAACCTTCGCCTAACGCTGCTCTCGCATTTGACGCAACTCGAGGATGCTCAAGGCAGGAAGAGGTGGGTGGCTGCCTACGTTCCGTTGGACAATCGCTCGTTCTACACCAGCGTTCTCCGCATCATCGCCAGAGCCAATTTCTTGCGTGTGGCTAAGCGTGTTCCGCGTAAGGCGGATGCAAAGCCAAAGGACCCGGTCAAGTGGGAGATGGTGCGCAATGGTGAAGTGACCCCAGTATCGGACAAAGGCTGCATCCCCGCCGTCGGAAGTGACTGGATCGTCTTCGGCGAATACTCAGACCCTGCGCCTTTGCTGCGTCAATTGCGCATGGTGACTCCGATTCCTTTGGAGTTGATCGTGACCGCAGCGCCGTTTCACTGGTGTCAGCTCAACCTCGCTGGCACTGACCACGTTCAGGACGGACTAGTCGATGCCATCAGCAGACTCACGCAATGCAGCGAAGCCTACGTGCGCAGTGCCACGCCTCCCAATCCAAGCATGCCCAGCGACACGTCCGCTGCCGAGTAGCTGCGCACAAGTCTCCCTGGCTTCCACCCACTGCCCTTGATTAAGTTCTCTGGCTGCAAAATATCCCTGTCTTTGATTGAGTTCTCCGACCGCATCTGCCTTTGATTCAGTTCTCTGGCGTTCAACCTCCCTGACCTTGATTTACTTCTCTGGCGTTCCACCTCACTGTCGTTGATTGAGTTCTCCGACCGCAGTGCCCATGATTAAGTTCTCTGGCGTATAAACCACCTGCCCTTGATTGAGTTCTCCGGCGTTTCACCTGCCTGCCCTTGATTAGGTTCTCTGGCCTTGCCCGTATGCTATGTGTGGGACCACGTCGCAGGGCTAGGTAGCTTGTGTACCAGAGCTTTACCTGAGATCTTCCACCGTGACACTGCTCTCACATGTCGTATGATGGCTGCCTTACCTTCGATGTCTCGTACAATATTAACACGTGCAGTCCGTAGCCCGGCCAGGAGTGCTGACGCTCACAGGTGGCGAAACGGGCATGCACCCAATATTGAATGCGGTGAAGGACACCACAGAAGCACGCGAGAGGCGACCATCGTATCTTGTCTATGCCAGTCAGTCACTGGAGCCCGTGCCCAGCTGTCGCGCGGCTTTCGACGCCGCAGTACTCTTATTTCGTCTCAATCCCCACAGATACCAGCGAGAAAGCCATTTGTCAAAGCAGGCCACGAAGGAAGGAAAGTCCAGCAGCTTGTGAGAGGCGATGTGAATGGAAAAGCAAACAGTGTGTAACATACTCGTTGATCTACCCATTCACTCCTCAAGCGTCGGGCTATGAGTTGTTTCCGGTATCTACGATCGTGCTAGTAATCTAGAGAGCTCATTCGCTAGCGTAATGGCCGTGGCGCCGGTCAGCTTGCATGCTTCGACAGCAGCGGTGAAGTGAACGACGAGATGACTTACCGTCAACCTCGTCCCAAGCACACTCAGCGCAGGTCCACTCCTAGGATCCGTATTGAACACACCGGTCCCGACGTCGTGCTTGACCCTGCCGTCGACATGGGATGTCTCAAGATCTGCCCTCTCTTCAACCTCCCGCACGTACGGGGAGCGCACCTGTCATCAACCGTTCGGCCTAGATCTTGCACCTCACCGTCCGAAGCCGAGCGTCCACGCTTCCAACTCCAAGTCCGATCCGAAGCCTCATGAGACGAAGGTTGTACGCTCGACGTCAGCGACGCCTCAAGTTCCCATTCCAATCTTCATCCGCCAACCCCCAACAGCACCACGTAATTATCTCGCCACCCTCCCAGATCTCGGGATTGGGATATTGCCAATCATCAGCTTGAGGCCAGCCCCGTCTCGATCATCGGTCGAAACTGCCTGGCCCGTGAGATTACTCGCACAGCATTGGCGGAGTGGAGATGACGTTGAACAGCTGATGATAACAGACTGGTCCGAGTTGCTGTCGTCGCAATTGATCGTCTGTTGAATACAGGGTGCGTGATCGATGTTGCTGTTCGTGATCGGTGCGGAGTTCGAGCGCTGATGATGAAGGGGTACGGCGTAGCGTGTGCCTAGTGCCGTCGTATTACCTGGCGGCAGTTACTGTTGCCTAGCTGTTCCCAATTCCCTGGATGTTGCACCCCCGGCTGTGACGGAGGTCTGGCGGTGCGTGTAACGGTCGTGCTAGTTGCTATATTTTTCGTATTGGCGCGTGCAAGCGGCGAAGCTACTCAAACCCGATGAGAGGTCTTGTTCAGCGGTTCGGTTTCGAGGCATCGTAACGCACTTACAGGCCAAGTATGGTGAGAAGCAGATGCGGTCGCGATGCTCATCACCCCAACGAGTGCGCAAAGAGTGTAAACCGTTTCGAGGCAGCATCTACACGATATGTGGACATGATTGATTAGATTATATAATTTTCGGTCCGACATTTGTCATTCAATCAGCCCGGCTGTAAGTCCTCACGTTCTTCGCCCCGTGCAGTGAATAATGCTAATTCTCTAATTAGAGCTCAATCGGTAGAGCGTAAGACTCTTAATCTTAAGGTCGCGGGTTCGACCCCCGCGTTGGGCTCACTCAACGCTATCGTCACAGGCGATAATGAAGACCATCCTTTTGTCTTTTTGCTTCATCTCATCTAGCGCAGGAAGCGGCGGATCAGCCTCAACGCAGGAGACGTTCTGGGCAAGTGCGGAGCTTGGCGACAGTTACTGACTGAATTGCTTTACTTCTACATGTACTCCGTGGATCTTCGCACTGATCACCAAGGACTCGCGCTGCGAGCGTCACCAGCGTTCATTGTTGCTCGTCAGAGGTTCTCTGACGATGTCTCCAACGGTTCAACCAGCACTGCCATCTCAGGTGACGCTCAGACTATTATTTCTCGCTCCATGCTATCAAAGGGATGGCGATACTTTTGCTCTCCCAAAGGTCTGGAGATTTTAACGAGGAGTGTTGCCCGGCCATGCATTGGCTTCTTGCACTATCATAACGAACAGTCTCGTAAAGCACTGTCGAGATGATGCTGCGAGCAGCAGAGTACTCTTCAGACCATTGAAACAGCTGAAGTCGGACGGCGTTCACGATCCACCGGCCGACCCGACAGCCTAGTGAGCGGCCACTATGCAGACGATACGTTACACATGGAAATCCTGAGCCTGTGCACCCAGCTTCAAAGCATGGACGCCATTCATCTTGATCCTTCGACGATCCTCAGCTCAGCTGGAAGGCTTGACTACAACATACCACCGCGATCCTTGAGACAGGCCCTGGTCCTCGCGCGCGGCTGACAAACGCAATATGTTCTTACCCGGATCCTGGACAGTACGCGAGCCCTGCGACCTCGCATTGCGTGAATACAGTACGGCAAGCACGAATGGCTGGTGCGACAGCTGGGGTTGGGGCTCGCGCGGATAACAAAAGAAGCGGACTACTCGAGAAGTCTTCCCAAGTGGCATGGCTAGTATATACTACACTCCGACAAGCTTTCTGCTGTCAGTGCGACCTAGGCAAGTCTCTAATGAAGACGTCACTCGTTCCAACAGCGCAGCTACTAATCAACTACCGAGGTGCTGCATGTTTTAGCATCTTTCATCACGACGAGTCGCTGAGAGGTTCGCTTCTTCTGCCATTCGCGTGGGGCTGAAAGAAACCCAGCATTCGCATTCGGGCCCGGGCGCGTGCCGAATGCCATACACTGGCTAGTGGTAATTTGCAACCAATGCACGCCATAACCCTGGATATGTCACGGCCCATGTTGGTGTTAGTGTGCCCGAGTCGGCCTTCAGGTCTGTATCCGAATCTTCTGCACCAGTATTCCTGCCATATCCTTCCTTACTTCACTCATTTCTTCTGTCCATTTGCGCCTCTCGTACGCCTAGTGAAGTCAAGCAACTGAATTCGGCATGGCCATGGCGGCGGGAAGTGTCTGAATTGCTGCACGCACACTGCTCGCCGTCTACATGTTGGTCATCAAACTCGCTTGGAATCTCTTTCGAGCACTTCGGATGAGCTCTCTGGCTTCCCAGCAACACAACAGACGACCACCACGCATCGGCAAGCCTCTACACACGATTCGTGACTCTTACGACGTCGTTGTCATCGGCTCAGGCTATGGCGGAGGTGTTGCGGCCAGCAGAATGGCGCGGGCCCAGCCAAAGCAGAGTGTCTGCGTGCTCGAGCGCGGTCTCGAGCGATGGCCTGGCGAGTATCCTAGTATGACTTTCTCGGTGCTACGAAATCTGTGTACTATGGGACATATCGACATTGCATGGCTGAAAGGAATCGCCATCCGCATTGGTAATCCGACTGGACTGTATCGGTGGTTTTGCGCTGGCTCCTCGAACGCCTTTGTTGGCAATGGTGGGTGACACTTGCGAGCATCGCAACACGCGGGATGGAGGCTCACTGACAACAGGTCTGGGTGGGACGAGCCTGATCAACGCGAATGTGTACCTACGGCCACGACCTGAGACCTTTACATCGCCTGCGTGGCCAGCCGAGCTACGTCAACCTGGCGAGCTAGATCCATGTAAGCGATTCCTTGCAGCCCCGCGCGATATACACTGACGATCGACAGACTTCGAGCGTGCAGCACGGATGCTCGAGCCACAGAGCTATCCCAAGAGCCGCGAGCCAATCCGCAAGTATTCAGTCTTCAAGGAAGAGGCTCACCTGGCAGGCCTGGGCAATCGCTTTGTGCCTGCGAAGCAGACGGTTGCCTTCGAAGACAGGATCAATGCTGCAGGCGTGCAGTTGCGAGCTAGCACTCTCAGCGGTCAGGACAGTACTGGACTCAACGATGGCAGCAAGAATAGTGTGCTTGCTACTTACTTGGCCGATGCGTGGTGCTTCGGAGCAGAGATGTACGACTCCTCAGACTCAGCCATCAATACCACGCTGACATGCGACCCAGATACTGCGGTTGCGACGTGCGATACGTCAAGAAGCATCCCAAGACTGGTTGGCTGATCTACTATCGACAACCCGAGTCCGAGAAATCCTGGCCATGGTCGCGACGAACACCTGAAAACCTTCGTTGGGTCCACGCAAAGAAGGTTGTCTTCCTTGGCGCTGGCTCACTGGGGTCCACGGAGATCATCATTCGCAGCAATGCTCATGGTATACCAGTCAGTCCGATGGTCGGTAAGGGTCTCAGTGGTAATGGTGGCTTCTTGGGCTTCGGATATGGTCTTAATCGACAGGTAGATGCTATTGGGCAGCAAGGACTGAAGCACAATCCACCTGGCCCGACCATAAGCTGCATGATAGACTGCAGAACTAGCGAAGACTACGAGGAAGATTACATCGTGCAGGATGGCACATTTCCCCTCGTCATGTCTGGCTTCTTCCGCCTCGTCAAACCCTCCTTGCGTAGGGTGTCTCCCCCACGACAGAGCACGCTTCGCACACTCGGACGGTTCGTCGACATCCTGAACCCAGTTTCATCAGCAATGCAACGAAGCCAGGTCTATCTTGTGCAGAGCCATGACAACGCAACCGGATCCATTTCACTAAAGCACGATACTGCTTTGCTCAACGTGGCAAATATCGATCGCAAAGCCAACCTCGCCCGAATCAAGACTGTCCTCACCAAGATGACGCATGCTCTCGACGGCATCTTCATGGAGCAGGGCTTCAAGGTGATAGTACACCTCCTCGGAGGCCTTGGAATGGCGGGCGATGGCTCAGGCCGTACAGGCTCAACGACTCACGCGGGCGAGCTGTTCACAGGTTCTGGATCCGAAACTCACGCTGGACTGTGTGTCGTTGATGGTGCTGTGGTGCCTAGATCACTGGGCGCGAATCCGTTTGCGACGATCACGGCGCTGGCGGAACGTAGTGTTGAGGCAGCGGCACTAATGTTTGGCTGCACGATTGATCTGGACTCAAGGGCGGACTTTGACAGAACCTGGAAGACATGTTGTGATGCAGTGCCCACCGAATTGTCCTTCTTCGAAACAATGACAGGCGAAGTCTATGTATCCGGCACTAGGTCGCAGATCACTCTGAACGCTTTTATCGTCGTACAGCAATCATCCGATGTCTTTGAGGGTACAATCTTTGGCACTATTAAGTGCGACGGAACCTTGCACGAACAGCTCGTGATCAGGCAGGGTATATTCAAACCGTTCATTGTGGACGCTTCGGGGCCCGATCAGATGGTTATGGCGTACGATATCACTGCCCTGGATAGCAGTGGCAAGATGTATGAGTTCCGGTGTCGGAAAGTCTTCAACTCGTCCACGGGAATGTCTGTACGCAAGCTCTGGCATGCATCTACCACGATGACGGTCGATATAATTACAGCAGAGGGCATTTCGTATGCACGCGGCGACCTTCGAATCGATTTTCCTGGGGTCTTAAATACGGTGTCCTCGATGAAAGCAACCGGACGTACACATGCGGAACGCTGGAGAATCACGATGAAGTTCCTGTCACTCTTCCTCCGGAAGCTGTCGCTCGTGTTCTTCCCACGGCTAGCCCCTCTCCAGTACCCTTCCGAACCTCAAAGCAATGGTACTCTTTCAAGTAAGCGCCAAAGCGATGGAGATGCAGTACACACCATCACAGCTTCCGACGGTGTCACCTCGACCCTTCGAATGTGGAATTCCACAAATCATGCCTCGTCCGGTTCGCTACAGGATATCTTCTTCATGCCCGGGAGTGCAGTCAACCACCTCATCTTTGCTTCACCGTACATGAAGGAGAACGCTATCAGCTACTTCACGGGCAGAGGTTACCGCTGCTGGTGTATTACCACACGCTTCGGCCGAGACGAGGGCAATGCCACGAAGCTCGAGTGTACGAGCTATAGTGCACGTCTTGATGTAGCGGCAGCACTGACAGAGTATCGGCGGCTGGTGGGACCAACAGCTCCGCGACCGTATGTAGTGGCGCACTGCGTCGGCTCACTCGCGCTGGCTAGTGGTCTGCTCGATGGGACGATTCCGGCCTCATGGCTTGCGGGCGTGACCGCCTCGGCGACTTTCTTCACGCCATGTCTTGATCCACTGAGTACCTGGAAAGCCCGACTTCCGCTCATTAGTCTATACCGCCTCATCACAGGCGATAAGTGGTATGCATGCGACTCACCACCAGACCCCAGGTGGATTCAGCGACTACTCGACAACGTCTTACGTTTCTATCCTCACTCTTCACCGCGTGAAGTATGCAGTTCCAACGTCTGTCATCGCTGCAATCTAGTATTCGGCAGACTCTGGAACCACGCGAACCTCAACGAAGCGACGCACTCCCACCTCGACGAGTTCTTCGGTGGCATACACACCACGTGCCTGCAGCTACTCGCGGACATGGGTCGCAAGCAAGTCGTCACTGACGATCGTGGGCGTTCACTTGTGACGGAGAAGAATCTAGCCAGGCTGGCTGGGCTGCCTGTGCTACTGCTTTCGGGATCGGAGAATGTGGTGTATCCTCCAGTCACTACTAAGAAGACTTGGGAGCTACTTAGGCAGCGGTGTGGAGATGAAGTAGTGAGGAGACAGGTGATTGAGGGAGTTGGACACTTGGACCTGTGGATCAGTGACAACGCTGCTGAGAAGGGAGGGGCATTC